TTGGAGCGCGCGAAATTTGAAACGAACTTTCCGAACAACCTAATATATAATTTATAATTTATAATTATATATAATTATACATAATTTGTAATTATATACAGGGTGCATGATTTATCTGAAGACATTGAAATATCTCGAGAACGATGCATTGGATAAAAAAAAGTGGTTAATGAAAGTTGTTAGTCTCGAAGGGGGACATCCAATGATACCAAACTCGACCTCCCACCCTCTGGGGGTGGGGGTTGAGGGCAACTTTGAAATCTTAAATGGAAACCCCCATTTTTTATTGCAGATACGGATTCTACGCCACAAAATATGTAAATTTTGTCCGAAACTTTTTTTTTGATTCGTGATAGATGGCGCTGTAATCGCAAAAAATTATATTTTCCGCAATTCTCCAGAAATGATCATTGGATTGAGAAATAAAAAATACCTGTTCAATATTTTTAAAGAACATAATAAAAGTTATTCCCCCCCATCCTCTCGGGGTAAGGTGGGTGATAACGTTCAAATCTCAAATGGGGATATTTACAGAGTAGGCCAGGCGAATTCGAAACACCGGTTGAGTTTTGTTTCCAAAATGATTCTAAAATAAAATGCGATATTTGTGGCGAAACTGCCATAATTATTTGCTCTTGGTGCAAAAAATCACTTTGTATCACACATTTTTTCCATGATCACCACCTTTGCAACGAATATGTGCCATAAGTGTAACATTTATTTTTCGTTTATATGCAAATACTGTATTGATTTGTTTATTACTATTGTGAAATATATATAATAACGTGTTATTCTTCTATAATTTATTATATTGTTCCTCTCTATCCTATAAATTATTACTCCATAATTTTTGTTAAGCTCTTCGTTATGTTTCATTCAGCAATTAATAAAATATATTGTATTGTCACACTACACGCTTGCAGAGGTAACATAACGTCGGCCTAATTAGAAAACCTCTTAATTCCAATTTTTGACAAAATTGAGACTCATTTTATTCGATCAAAGTCGACGAGATAAATCGAACAAAATGAGTATCTTAATTTTGTCAAAAATTGAAGTTAGGAGGTTAGGAGGTTTTCTAATTAGGCTGATGATAATGTGTTTCATTATTTCACGTGCATTGCATGAAATACTTTTTTAATCATTTTAATTATCCTTAATCGACATGCCTTTCAGATTGTAGTGAACATAAATTTTACACATTAAATGAAGAAAATATACATTTGGAGCTTTTGTACAAATAGCGATGCTGCACACACATTTGCTACTGTTATATATGCAAATTATTTTATTGTTCACGTTTTCATCAAGCATTTTTATTTCGTGTAATATTGTATATCATATCATTACGATTAATTGTAGCATAAGAAAATATGCACAAGCAGTCATGAAGCATAGTGCAATTGTAGAGAAATATCACAGCGTATCTACCTACAGTATCTATCTACTCGGGCAGAGCGGTACATACCAGGGCCTCAATTCTGTACACGCTTACCGACTACTATCGATATCGTTAACGGAGTTGCGCAGGTTTTCTACGATATACAAAAGCTGCGCAATACAGTTAACGACATCGATAGTTGTCGGTAAGCGTGTACAGAATTGAGGCCCAGGTCTGTAAATATGAAACCGAAATTTGCCCATAGATGGCCCTAGCTATCAATGTAGTTACCGTCAAACCGCGTCATTGGCGCCATTTCCATTTGTTAACATCTGACAAAGATTTTCAACTCACAACAATACAAGTTTCATACAACAGCATAGTTTGTAATAGCATTGAATATGTCGAATTTTGTGCCTGGAAGCTACGATTTGCGGACAGCATTGATTTTCTGTTATCATTTGAAGAAAACTGTTTCAGAATTGCATCGAATGCTTGTCGAAGCTTACGGTGAGCATATTCTTGGTAAATCACAGTGCTTTGAGTGATTTAAAAAATTTAAACGTGGCGATTTTTATGTGAGAAACGACGAACGTGGAAGACCACCGAAAAACTTTGAAGACAGCGAATTGCAAGCATTGTTGGATGAGGATGACGCTCAAACGCAACAACAACTCGCGGATCAATAAAATGTGACACGAGAAGCCGTCTCCGTACGTTTGAAAGCCATGGGAAAGATCCAGAAGATGGGAAAATGGGTTCCACATGAATTGAATGAAAGACAGCAGGAAAACCGAAAAACTACTTGCGAAATGCTGCTCGCCAGGTACAAAAGAAAGTCATTTCTCCATCGAATTGTGACTGGCGATGAAAAGTGGATGTATTTTGAGAATCCTAAGCATAAAAGATCATGGGTAACTCCAGGCGAACCATCGACATCGACTGCAAGGCCAAATCGCTATGGACGGAAGACAATGCTCTGTGTTTGGTGGGATCAGAAGGGTGTGATTTGTTATGAGCTGTTAAAACCTGGCGAAACCGTTCATACTGAACGCTACCGACAACAAATGATCGATTTGAATCAAGCTTTGCGTGAAAAACGACCAGAATATCAAAAAAGGCAACACAAAGTGATTTTGCTTCATGATAATGCACCATCACACACAGCAAAACTGGTCAAGGAAACGATTGAGGCGTTTAGTTGGGAAATATTTTCGCATGCGGCTTACTCACCAGACTTGGCTCCATTCGATTACTACTTATTTGCATCGATGGGACACGCACTTGCTGAGCAACGCTTCACTTCTTACGAAAATGTACGAAAATGGCTTGATGACTGATTTGCCTCAAAAGAGCAACAGTTTTTTTGGCATGGCATCCACAAATTGTCAGACAGGTGGGAAAAATGTATAGCTAGCGATGGGCAATAATTCGAATAAAATATTTTTTATCATTTTCATACAATAAACGTGTATTTTCTATACAAAAATTCCGGTTTCATATTTACATACCTGGTATACCATGAAGTTTTCTTATTGCGTTTTGTCCGAAATATTAAATACCATTTTCTAATATTATATATGGATGGATTTGGTATTTAATGCTCTACAATTTTTGTCCTTACAAAAACTTAAAAATTTTGCCAGAGTAACGCGAAGGGGGGGAGTAGTTCAACATTTGAAATTTTAAAAAACTGAACATATGGTTGCAAAGAGCATAAAATATTGCAAAACTTTTGTCTGAAACTTTTTTTCATATGACTCATAATTTAGAAAATATTTGATAAAAACGATAACGGCTATTTTTTTTAAGGGGTGGTTTTACCCCCTAAACATGCTCCGAAGCCGATATAAAAAAATATGTATTCCTTAGTTTTGGATGCTCTACAATATATCCGAAGCCCATTCAAATCGTTGAGGGACAGTTGTGACACTCTCCTTGTGAGTAGCCGCCGCAGCATATATGTCGTTGACCGGCCGGTCATCTTCGCGTATCGCTTACGCGTCGCGCGATATCGATATCGTCATTAGATCTAAGAAGTTCGGCGGCTCCCTTTAGTTTTAGACATCAAAATACAAGCGCAAAAATATAGAACGGTGAGGATTTATAACCGCAGTAAGTCAGGATGACATTTAATCAATTTCATTAATTTAATTAACAGAATTAAAAATGCGTATTCTTGTACTTCGTGTGCGTACTCTTATCTCATAGGTTGTCCAAGAGTACGCATTTGCAGCATTTCACATTGTTAATTATTTGAAGCACTATTAATTCAACTATATCAATTTCAATTTTATAGTGTCACTACACAGCAGATAACACTTCATATTCAGTGTTAGTTTGAAGTATGTCGTATCGTTACAGTGTACAATTAATTAAAATATAACAAATGTGTACTATTATCCGCATTTCCTCTATGTAGAAAATAATTATTGCAGAAGGACCCACCTGTATTACCCACCTGCATCCATGTATTGTATCTTGCATCCTTCTGCATTGGGAATTTGAATAATCGTTTTCCAGTCAATTTTCCATTCTGACAATCTTTATACATGCACCTGTTGTAAAAGCATATCTTCTGGAGTCAACATAGTCTTTATATTTTTATTTGCAATGCAGTGCAAGAAATAATTTTAGATACGTGAGAAAAAATATGTAACAAATAAGAAACTAAAAATGACAAAATAAAGAGAAAAATGAAAAAAGGAAAAAAAGCAGGATAAATATATAGAAAAGGGTACACCTCACCGATTTTTTTCATTTTGAAATATGTTATAAAGGATGAAATTCTGAATGACTTTTCCTAATACAATTATATGGGAGTCGCTTATAGTTTCTGAGATATTTGATTTTAAAGTTTTATAATTGTATGTTGAAGTATATTTGAAGTAGACAAGCAGTTTTCATTTACTTTAAATATAGGAAACAGTACATATGAGCGAGAGAGGGGCTCCGCCCGGTATTTCAAATTCGATGATCTTATTTATAATTCTATCGAATAATTATTTTGCTCATCAGATTTTGACTGTTATACATACTAAAAGAAAACTGATAAAGATCTTAGTTCATAACTATTATATAACACATGTGTTATATAACAGTTATATTGTTAAGTAGAAAATTACAACTAACATGCACGTTACATGTAATATTAGGGCTGTTCGTTTTGTCTGCATTATTGCTGAACTGGTGCATTAAGTTAAAGTGAGACAAACGTAGGTTTTCTCACTTCAATTTGTTGCACCAGTTCATCAGTGCAGTCAAAATGAACAGGCCTATTGTGTTTGCTGGGATGATTCCTCCTGATGATATATATATAATTTTTACTATATTCTGTGTAGTTTTCTGTATATTTTTACTATATTCTGTGTAGTAGCTTAGATATGAACCAAACTATCACAAACATACCTCGTTACCGAGCGACGTAGTTGACATCTATTTTCTCAGGGGGCGTGTCGAATTCATAAAAATTTCTGAACCTTTGCTGATCTCCGCTCTCAGGTTTCTCTCTGCTAGCAGTGAATATCGGAACGCAGCCATTGGGTCTGATCTTTATAGCTGCACTGCTGAACTAATGCAACAAGTTAAAATGAGACAAGTATATTTTTTCTCATTCTAACTTATTGCACTAGTTCAGCAGTGCAGCTGTAAAGAACAGATCTATTGTTTCATTTTCTCTGTTTCAACTTTTTCCATGAGTTTTTTGTTCGCTTCCACAGCAGTTGGATGTGGTTCCCGTTGGTTCCTGTAACTACGCATATTTTTGATCTTGGAGACTGCGTACGCGTTGTTCCCGTTTCTCTTTTATTTTCAAAATCGTTCTGATTTACGTAAGAAAAGGAGTGTAATAACTCTGCTCAGAGCCATATATTGAATGAATGAATAAACTTTTTCCATGCATTTGAGCTTATTTCTTCTTGCATCGTTAGTAATGTATATTGTCACTGTTGCGTAGGATTGTTTTATTAATTTGTTTGTGATCATATAGACAACATGAGTGGTAACGATCGCGATATTGATGCCAAAAGTGTAAATTGGCATTCCGAAAATAAATATCTAATAATTGACAACAATGACGAAAACGTGGAAAATGTCGAAAACAATGTAAGTAACAATATTATAGGGATCGCATAACTTTGTCGGAGAACCTTTTTTGTGATTCAATCTCTTATTTCACAGGATACAAAATCTAGATCTGGGAGGAGCTCTAATAAAACACAATATCGTTCTCAGGTGAGATTCAGCCTATAATCATTTTAGAATCTTTTTCGCCGTGAGTGATTGAGTCTATGATCGCTTTTGCTAAACAGATATTTCGCCGCTTTATTCTCTTCCTTGTTTGAACCTTATTGTGAGATTATAATGTAATGTACTCAACCTGAAGTTTTTAGATTTGGATGGGTACATTGCCACTATATAAAAATCAATGCTACATTGAATTTCTTTGATCCAAATATTATCCAGTATAATAGCTAAATATTCTGTTTCTTAATTTTGAAAAATTAAGCATCAATTATGTGCTTTTAATCTAATTAACTATAATCAAGAAATCAATAAAAAGCAGAGTATATGTTGACAGTTTTTAACTTTGATATATGTTTATTCATGCATATAATCTTTAATTTATGTTTTTCTATTGGATATATATTTATATGTAATTGGTTGTTTTGCATATAAATTAATCAACTGTAATAATATAATAGTGTCCAATAACTAATTATCCTTATAACAATCAATGTGTCAATATTGTGAACTTATTTGTACAGACAGAAAAAAGGGAACATCATAATTATTTGGAAAGGAAACGACGAGATGATTTGAAAATGGTTTTTTTTCATTTGAAAAATAATGTACCAACTATACTAAAAGGAAAAGCAAGTAGAGCAGTAATCCTAACGAAGACAATAGAGTATATTCAAAAGATGAGGGAAGAAACTGCCGTACATCAACGTATTACTCAACTTGTAGGTGAGAACATGTTGTTGAATGATCGAAGTAAGTACGTTATCTTTTATACAATTATGTATGCAGGATAATTTTGGGCTTAATTAATAAATATGAAGGTTTCTATATAGTAGTATAGTAATATATATATATATATATTAAAGTTAAAAAAGTTAAAAAAATCATCTTAAACATAAAGTTTCAGAGATAAATATGTGTCATCTCTACATCCTTAGTACATTATTTTTTTCATGAAGAATTATGAGATTCTATTTTCAAGATAATCATTATAAGAGATTTATTCCTTCCTTTTATCTAAAGATATTAGTAATATGCATTTTATTCAAAGATATTAGCTTGTCAAAAATATTAACTCTTTGAGTAATATTTCCAGTTAAAGAATTAAAGAAGGAACTTCCAAGAAGTTGCAAGAGTAGCACATATCACAACAAAACAACTATCCAGGTATCAATTAACTTCGTAATATGTAACCAAATATTAATCATTTTATATTGTATAAATATAGGATAAATTTTAGATAAAACTTTCTTATTTTGCAAATGTGTTATTTTTACAAACATTGCCAATTCACAAATACAATGCAGTATATTTATTTATATTTCAGTCACAGGATACTATATTGGAACTAGGGCTGTGCGATTAACTAAACTCATATTATAATAGAAAATAAAGGGAAAAAAACGTACATTTTTGGAAGATAAGAATCTTCCATTTCATATTTCTACACACAAAATTATGTATTATTTGTATATATATATATATATATATATATATATATATATATATTGAGATGTAACGTGAAGAATGCAGATTTTGCTGAACTCTTATGCAAAAATATTGAAAAATGTTTTGACAGAGTTTTTGTTTGTTGTAGCCTAGATGAATCAATCTGTAAACTGTGAGCTGCTCCAAAGCGAATCATTCGATTGAATGATGCACGGGCCTAGTCGGTATGATATTCCTTTCCATATGTTATAATGTTAACAAATAAAGGCTTCTAAAATATGTCGTTTGCACATAGTGAGCGTTGGACGTCGAATATCTTTTGTTTTAATGAATTTTTTATGAATTGAAGTTCTACAGGGTGTCCCATTTTAATGTCCTACTCTAAATAACTCTTCAGTATTGAAGTTTCAAGGAAAATGATCTGAATAAAAGTTGTAGGGATTTAAGTGAGCTATCTTATGATGACCTTGACTTTGACCTTGACTTCTATTTTCAAGGTTATTTGAAGATCAACTTGCCATCTTTTGCTTTTAATACTACAGGTGACTGTAGTCACCAATCATAATTTAAAATATATTACATTGTAATATCTCATCCTTGACGAACAATTTATCTGTAATTTATATTATTTTACCGAATATCAAATGTTATCATCATCAATCATACCCACTCTATGATAAAATGTACGGTTATAACTGGCCTGTACAAAGAATCTTATTCGCGACTCGAGTATCCGTACAGCGGAAGCATACTCGCGAACTACAGCCGTATCGAAAGGGTTAAATGGGAATCCTTATTTTTTATTACACTGTCTTTTTCTACTAGTTAATTTGAACAATTTTTGTCTAAAGCATTTTTTTATTTATTTAATATTTTTTTAGATATTTAAGGAAAACTTGGTAACTTTTTTAATATTTAACTTACGATATCTCGCTAACTATTTGTCGGAAGAAAAAGTGGCACTAGACTTTCTTGCTTTATTTAGTCTCAAAAATATAATATTGTTACAATAGCGCCTTGACTTTTGTTAACTTACTAATTTTTGGAAATTTCAAAATCATCAAATTAACAAAAATCAGGGCGTTATTGTAACAATATATTCTTAAGACTAAATAAAGTAAGAAAGTCTAGTACCACTTTTTCTTCCGACAAATAATTAGCGAGATATAAGTTAAATATTGAAAAAGTTATCAAGTTTTCCTCAAATATCTCAAAAAATATTGGACAAATAAAAAAATGTTTTAGACAAAAGTTGTTCAAATTAACTAGTAGAAAAAAACAGTGTAATAAAAAATAAGAGATCCCATTTAAAAAACGCAAGTTGACCTTCAAATGACCTTGAAAATTGAGGTCAAAGTCAAAGTTATCATAAGGTAGCTCACTTAAATCCCTACAACTTTCATTTAGATCATTTTCCTTGAAACTTCAATACTGAAGAGTTATTTGGGGTGGGACATTAAAATGGGATACCCTGTATATGCATGCATACACATACACGACGCACGCACGCACGCACGCATATATACATAGGAAGGAAGGAGGAACATTGACTATGTTTACACGGCTTCTAACTTCGACTTAGTAACTACCGTAGTTAGTGCAGTTTCGAATCCGATTAGAGTATATTTTTAGATCTAAAAGAATATACCAATCGAATCAAAGAATTCACTAACTACGGTTGTTACTAATCCGGATTAACCTTGCCGTGTAAACGTAGTTATAGAGACCTTTCGTGGAAATCTGTAAAATAAGCAAAATATTTTTCGGTTTTTGGCCAAGATCAAAAAATTTCACCTTATAATTACGATATTTGTAACGAGGAGAATCGTCCGCAAAGGTAATGTTTTTTTAAGCTCTGAAATAAAAACTATTAAATTTATACACGGTTTTATTAATATCCGAACATTGACTGGATTGAGAATTATTAAACATTTTCGGTACGACATTCGTTTCTATTTATTATGGATTCATCATGATTGTTGATTATTTGAAGAATCACCGACAATATTCCAAGTCGTGTCATGAGTGTTTGATAGTTACAGATTTAGGGCCAGAGCACAGATTTCTGCATAACGCATAAGAGAATCAACCAATCAAAGTTCTTCATTTCTATCCTGAGGAGGGAAATAAAGAAAACTAATTGGTTTATTCTCTTATGCGTTATGTATTTGCGTTATGCAAAAGCCTGTGCTCTTGCCCATACATTCTTATATAAAGGCATAATGCACAACGCATAAGAAAATAGACCAATCAGAATGCTCATTTCTATTGCCACGCTTGAAATGAAAGACTGATTGGTCCATTTCCTTATGCGTTGTGCATTATGCCTTTATGCAAGAATGTATGCTTCCCGCCTTACATAACACAACATATGGTCTGTTCGTTTTCAGCCTGCATTGCTGAACTGGTGCAATTGGAGTGAGAAAAAATATAGTTGTTTCGCTCTAACTTATTGCACTAGTTGAGCAGTGCACATAAAGCGAACAAACCAATAAGAATAACTCGATACTCATTGGTCCAAGTTCTTGTGTTATGTATATGCATCTATGTCATTTCATGTGCGATGGCCTAAAGGCCGATCCAGAATAGGTTGCAAACATCCAAACCAGTTGCGAGTTGCGAAAGATGGCAATTACTAGCAGCAGAGAGGAACGTGAGAGCGGCCAACACGGCGTTTTCGGCGACACCGACTTTCTGCACTAGAGACCCTACAATAGAGAATCTGGACATTAGAGCTTCGGTGTAATTGGTTCACGGACCAGTGGCCTGAAAATGGCGGCACCAATAGAAAACCTTGCTTACTTAGCACGAACGGGTAGATAATTTGGATGTCAAGTAATGTGTCTTCTGGATAGCGTCACATATTATTTTATTTAGCATCAACACATGAAAAGTAAAGAATTTCATAAACGAATATTTCGAAATTCAATATTTATAAAAAAATGTAATATATTTCATAAATTTATGCAGAGAAACATATATGGTCCATACCTTAAACTTAATTTTATTGATAAAAATACCTGTAAAAGTGGCTTATAAAACTTCTAATTGGTTATAACTAATTTTTAGAGACACTTTGATAAAAGGAAGGTTAAAGTATGGACCTTAAAATCAATATTTCTATTAATAGAATATAAGTGAAATGCATTGTAAGTGGGAATAAGAGAAATAATAACATAACGAAATATAAAATACAGGGTGTCCCATTCTAATACGGCCGGCTGAATAAAATTCGAGGATATTTTCCAGAAAAAAATGTCAGACAAATGTTGCTCAGTTCTAAGGGGGACATTCGATGCCATCAACAATTTTGACCTCGGGTGAAGGGTTCAAGATCATTCAAGGTCAACTTTTTTTTCTTAAATAGGAACCCCTATTTTTCACATCGGCAATCGATTCTACGTAAAAAAAAATGAAACTTTTGTCTGAAGCATTTTTTTATAACGCAAACTAATTTCACTTACTCAGTCTCCAAAATTGAAATTTTCAAACTTTCTGAATTTTTTACTCGAGAATGGTGGGGTTTGGGGGGAAATTGCAGAAGACAAAAAGTTCTTGGAATGCTGCAAGGAATTCACTCGAATTTTCGCATAGTTGATCGTGCACTTTTTTCGAGATACCTCCTGATAGGTAGAACATTGGCGGAAAAAAGTGCACGATCAACTATGCGAAAATTCGAGTGAATTCCTTGCAGCATTCCAAGAACTTTTTGTCTTCTGCAATTTCCCCCCAAACCCCACCATTCTCGAGTAAAAAATTCAGAAAGTTTGAAAATTTCAATTTTGGAGGCTGAATAAGTGAAATTAGTTTGCGTTATAAAAAAAAATGCTTCAGACAAAAGTTACATTTTTTTTACGTAGATCGATTGCCGATGTGAAAAATAAGGGTTCCCATTTAAGAAAAAAAAGTTGACCTTGAATGACCTTGAACCCTTCACCCGAGGTCAAAATTGTTGATGGCATCGAATGTCCCCCTTAGAACTGAGCAATATTTGTCTGACATTTTTTTCTAGAAAATATCTTCGAATTTTATTCAGCCGGCCGGATTAAAATGGGATACCCTGTATATAATATTTAAATATATTATATATTTTATGAGAATGCAGAATATAACAATAATATATACAATGTAATATATGGTATACTTATAAATAGGGTGTCCCATTTTAACTTTTGCATTAAAAAATTTCGAAAACTATGAAAGATATTAAAGAAAACTAAAACACGTTTTCCATGATTTCGAAGGGAAAAAAGAATAGCATATCAGTTTTTTATTTGGAGAGCATTTTCAAAGTCAGTTGAAGGTCAACTTAATTTTTTAAAAAAAGCTTAATTTATTATTATATCTTCTTTTTCTACCAATTAATTTTAACAACTTTCGTCTGAAATAATTTTTTATTTGCCTAATATTTTTTGAAATATTTAAGGAAAACTTAGTAACTTTTCAATATTTAATTTACGATATCTCGTTAACTATTCGTCGAGAGAAAAAAGTATTAGACTTTTTTACTTTATTTACTATCATGAATATATTACTATAATAGTGTCCTAATTTTTATTAATTTAATTTTGAAATTTCCAAAATCGATAAGTTAACAAAAGTTAGGGCACTAATATAGTAATATATTCTTGATAGTAAATAAAATAAAAAAGTCTAATACTATTTTTTCTTTTTACGAATAGTTAGCAAGATATAGTAAGTTAAATGTTGAAAAAAAACTTGGCATTTTCTATAAACATATTAGGTCAATCGGAAAGTTCTGTCTGTTTTCTTGCAAAACATATGGCTTTATTTAAGAAACAAAATGAAAAAGTACATCAATCAAAGTATTGTCCATCGTTAGCGATGATCTTTTCCCATCTTTCGGTCAGCAAGCGAATTCCGCGGCGAAAGAATGACTCATCTTTGGAGGCTATCCAGTCAGACCCATTTTTCGACGTTTTTATAAGAATTGAAGCATTCCTCAGCAAGTGCGTGTGTCATCGACTGAAATAAGTGATAGTCGGAAGGGGCACAGTCTGGTGAATAAGCCGCATGGGATAACACTTCCCAACGAAGTGCTTCTAACGTTTCCTTGACAGATTTTGTGATGTAAGGCCGAGCATCGTCATGAAGCAAAATCACTTTATGCTATCTCGTTTCATATTCTCGTCGTTTTTCGTGCAATGCTCGGCTCAAACGGATCATTTGTTCTCTGTAGAGATCCCTTGTGACTGTTTGAGCACTTTTCAATAGCTCATGGTACAGCACACCCTTCTGATCCCACCAAATACAGAGCATTGCTTTCTTTTCGTGGATATTCCGCTTTGGCGTCGATATTGAGGGTTGGCCGGGATCGCAAATAGTTTTTCGACGTTTGAGGTTGTCAAAATAAATCCGTTTTTCATCCCAGTGATGATACGATGTAAAAATTCCTTTCTTTGTTGCCTAGCAAGCAGAATTTCGTAGGTGGTTTTTCGCCTTTCAATGTCTCTTGGCTTCAGTTCATATGGGACCCATTTTCCTTCCTTGTAAACCTTTCCTAAGGCTTTCAAACGATCAGAAATGACAGATTGAGCACAATTTAATACTTCTGCAAGTTGCTTTTGCGTTTGACATGGGTCTTCGTCCACCAATGCCTGCAATTCTTCGTCTTCGAATACTTTTGGCCGTCTAGAACGCTCTTTGTCCTCTACATCAAAATCACCAATTTTAAAGCGTCGAAACTATTCTCTGCATGTTTTATCGGAAGGAGCATTATCACCATAAATTTCTACAAGCATTCGATGAGCTTCAGCTGCAGTTTTCTTCCAATTGAAGCAAAAGATTAACACTTCGCGCAAATGACGCTTATTTGGCTCAAATTTCGACATTTTTGATGCAGTGAAAAACAATGTTATTGATGCAAACGTATACTTTTATGTACTGAATGTTATTGACAGATGTCAAAAAAACTATTAAGCTCCGTTTAGACATTAGAGGTTAACGACAGTTTTAGCTATAGCTACTTGTCGCTAGCCATACAGCACAGATCATTATAATTACATTGCCAAAACGTTGCAACATTGCACATTGCAATACAATATTGTAAAGAGATATACAGATTCGAAAAATACCAGCATACTTGTAGTAACATTACAGTAATATTAAAGAAACATTGCAAGAGCAAAATTGAATATACAACAATATATTTTAATAATAAAATACTTTCATCCGGGTGGAGTTTACGAACGCGGCCCAATATGTTAATCACAACACTTAACATGAATTCATATTAGCCCGGGAACACAATAATGTAATAAGTTTTAAGCCTTAAGGAATTATCCAATCCCAGTCGACTTTTATAAGAATAATCGAATGAGGTTAGCCAAATTCTCAAGGCTCAAAACTTACTACACCTATTGTGTTCCCGGCCTTAAGTATTAGAGGATCCCTATTTCGAGCTATTGCGAATACAGCGATTCCGTTGTGATTAACGTATGCGTGCTTCCAATTATTTCGAAGAAAAAAGGAAAGAATAGTGATTCTGAACAATGATCCACAGTGTTTGTTGCTGCACAAAAGAAAAAGGTAAGCACATTGTCTATTAATGATAATACCCATACAGCACAAATCATTGCAACAACATTGCAGCAACGTTGCAACGTTGCAAATTATAATACAATATTACGAAGACATTGCAGAGATATAGATTCGCAAAATACCTTCCCACACAGCACTCAGTCGACTATTAATTGACTGTCAGTCGGCAGAAGAGGTCTAAAGTCGACTTTAAAGTCAGACTGAATGCCAACTTGTAGTCGACTAAAGGCTCGTCTACATTAGCTGTAAGAATAAGGCTGTAAGGTTGCAAGACACGAAATGAAATATTTTCATTCGCTGACAGCTTACGTTACAGCTTTACAGCCTAAAATAGACCAATCATAATCGACTATTACGAGAATAATCTATTGTGATTGGTCTATTTTTATTCTTATTGCCTGTTGTCTGGCATTGTGCAAGGGGCTTTACTCTTACAGCTATTGTAGACGAGCCTTAACAGTCAACAAATGACTCGATTATAGACTACGTTTATACGGCTTCTAACTTCGACTTAGTAACGCTAATGTTATAACTCCTACTTAAGGTAAGTTGCGTTTACACATTTACGCTTATCTATTTGAAATAACTTAATAACTTTCGAGTGAATCAAGGATTTCCATTAGTACCAATATAAAAGGCCGAAAAATGAAATGATTATGATTGTAGTCTAAATATAAAAGAATTAGAATATGAAAAGAATAATATGTAAATAAATCAACAAATAAAGTGAACTTTTAGGTTATATTATGAATTTGAAAATTATAAAATATGTATATATCTATATAGTAAAATTTATATAATAAAATATAATATTTAACTAAAAAATGAAATTAAAATTTTAGGTTATCAATTTTGGAAAAAATTAATCATGGAAAATATGGAAAGCGTACGCCCGTTTGTTGCTATATATTTGAAAACAGTAGAAAATATGACGATGCAATATATACTATATGTACGAAATATTTTGATTAAACGGCGAAAGCGTCAGAAAGAAATTATATTACAACATTTATTGAATTTAACACCACTAAATCATTTGCTTGATCTCGGACCCGTATTACAATTTTCACGACATAAATCAATTTTACAATCAAGTTAAGGTGTTCAATTTTTATATTGGTATTATTGTCATATTTACACTGCGTCCGTTTACACGTCTTCCTTACGTCGATGTAGAACTCTAAAGCCCTAAACACAATGCCAGGCAACAGGCAATAAGAATGAAAATAGACCAATCACAATAGATTATTCTTGTAATAGTCGATTGTGATTGGTCTATTTTTATTCTTATTGCCTGTTGCCTGGCATTGTGCAAAGGGCCTAAGCCTCTTCACCAAATGACTTTGAGTTACTACATCAATGTAATAACTTCGTCGTAAAGGAGTGTTTACACGGCATCTAACGTCAGTAGTTGTAAGATCGATGTTATAACTTTGGCGTAAATTGGGTTGTGTAAACGTAGTCAATAAAGCTAAGACTCCATGCATGCGGTGAACTGCGGCAAATGCTGCGGTGACCAATCAGGAGGGAGACGCAAGTCCGGTTGCGGCAAGCTCCGGCATGCGTCTGTCTCCTGATTGGTCACCGCAGCCGTTTGCCGGAGCTCACCGCATGCATGGAGTCTTAGCTTAAGTAATCATATTATTATTCTTCTCACATTCAACTGTGATTGGTTAATATCTTACTGTTATGACCTAAGTCTCTCTATTGTGGATGGCCCTTCATGTTCTGTGTGAATATGTATGCGTCCGGATGTGACTTCCGGTCGAGCGTTGAAAAAGAATCGACCCGCGAACACGACTCCGAATTGATGTGTTCTATGTCCGTTCCTGTTAGCATATTCCATTCTTATTTTAATAAGTTAATTCTTAAACTACATTTGTAAGATACCTACAAATGATTTTCGCATTGTGCCAAGAAATTGATTTTCGGATAATAACGCAATATTTCAATAGTCTCCCTACGGAAATATAAATGAGGTTAACACAATTTATAACATTCTTATTTTAATAAATTAATAAAAAATAATCATTTGCAATATAAGACGAGCTCCTTTTTATGGTAATTGCAGAAAATGTTCCGCAATAATAATATAACAATAATAAATAAAAACATACAAATAATATATTAAGTTTGTGTGTATGTTTCCAGCGTTGTTTATTTAAAATGACAGGTACTTATTGAGAAAATGTAATACAATCTTAATCATGAAAGTATTTTCCTGACTCTGTAGCCCATAAATCTCTCTAGGCCACTCTAGCCCATAAATCAGGTAATCTTCACATTCTTTGCACAAAAGATTGTGGCTTAAAGGCGATGAAGTTGTCGAAGCAGTTTTTGTTATCATCGACGTTTGCAAAGCACTGCCCACAAAGTGTGTGCTGTAGGAACCTAAACAGATGATAATCTGAAGAAACGAGATCAGTTGAATATGTTGCATGTGAAAGAACTTCTCACCTTAGGTCGAAAATTGTTTGTTTTGTCGATAAAACGATATGGGGATGAGCATTGTCATGCAGCAGTATAACCTGTTGCGTTCCTTGGCCAGTAAACAATCGTTTCTCTTCCATTTTCTTGCTCAGAGCAATTGCCGAGCGCAACAGCAATCACTCCATTTTAGTAAGAAAAAATATTTTGATAATAAATATACTTTGATAATTAAGATTGTATTACATTTTCTCAATAAGTCCTGTCATTTTCGATAAATAACGCTGGAAACTTATTCACACCTGATAAATGATAACAATAAGTAGACTGTGTATACTAGTATAGTATATATTTGTTTTTATGATATTTTTTAATGTTTAGAATATTAATATTTACAGCTGAATGTAGAATGGCGGATGATAAGAGACAGAAACAAATTCGTTTCTATTCAGATAAACATAACCGTCGTCTCATACAACAACAAAATGAAGCTGATGTATACAGAATTTTTGGTGCATTAGAAAATCTGCCACCATCATTTATCCCTATCCAAACGATTAATCCAAGTGGAAATGAGAGATTGATTCATACTAGTGATCAAATATTGGAACATAGTGAGTATGACAATGTTGATTATGACATATTGCAACTGCAGGATAAATATATAATATTTAAGTGTATAGTATATACAGGGTGTTTGAAAGCTTATCATGCAGACGAAAGTTGGAAATAGATTGGGTGTAGCCGAGAAGAAAAGTCATGTACCATAATGACAAATTGGCAATAGTTACCGAAATATTAATTTAAACATGTGAGCCAATGAGTGCGTAGAGAGCGCTGGGTGGCCGCCTCTTGTCGCTTATGTTGCCCCTCGCCGCACGCGCTCGCCTATCGCCACTCGTTGACTCCGCCTGTATCAAATGTCTACGTGCTTACTGCGGCCGCCCTCCGCTCTCTACGCGCTCGTTGGCTCACATGTTTCAATTAATAACTCGGTAACTATTGCCAATTTGACATTATGGTACATGACTTTTCCTCTCGGCTACACCCAATCTATTTCCAACTTTCGTCTGCATAATAAGCTTTCAAACACCATGTATATAGTACATAAGTATATATAAATATAATTAATACAATAAATATTAATAATATATATGCTTGTATTGAGATGCATAAGTATAGTAATTTAGTAAAATTAGAATAATTGATACTTATATTTAACATAAAAAAGAACACAATAATAATGACGTTAATATGCAGTAATAATGAATAAAATAATATTTAAAAATACATTAAAATTTTTACATTATATAATATAATACTATTTTTATATATAATTATATGTATACAATTATAAATGTTATATACAATTTTATATAAAAATTATAAACAAATTTTACATACAATTATAAATAAACAGTGTTTAAAATTATTTTTTATAAAAACTGAAACGTAAAGACAAAATGATAATTAATATATATACATATATATGTAATTTTTTTTATTATGAGTTTAAAATTTTAGCTTATACGTACATTTAATCATTGGTAAACAAAGATGTATTGTATATTTTACAGATGATATACATGAGGTATTAAATAATGAAAACGATGACTCTGACTGCAATAGCAGTATTCATAGTTATGAATATCCAAATTTCAATTCAAGTGACGATAATGAAACAGAAGCATCAGATATAGAGTCGATTGAGGATGAAGCAGAGAATGATGATGAAATTATGATTAATGATAACTTCATACAAGATATTGCTACATGGATGAGACAATTCAAAACATCACAAGAAGCCAAGGTTGATTTATTGAGAATTTTAAATTTACATACTAATGTAAAATTTCCAAAGGATCCACGAAAACTTCTCCATACTCCTACATCTACAGATGTTAAAGAAATGTGTCAAGGACAATACTGGCATAGTGGTTTAAGAAATGCAATAATAAATATTTTGAATAAAAGGCAATATTTACAATTTACATTTAGATAATAAAACAGTTAATCTCTTCATAAATGTTGATGGTGCACCTCTTGATAAATCAACGCAAAAATGTCTGTGGCCTATTATGTTCAGATGACATTATTAAAGAAGTTCATGTTGTCGGTATCTACTATGGAGGAGGAAAACCGAGTGATGCGAATAAATTTTTAGAATCATTTATAGATGAAGCGATTTCATTAATTAATGAGGGTATTGATTTTAATAATAATAATTATAAAATACGAATCAAGGGAATGATATGTGATTCACCAGCTAAGGCGTTTATTTTAATGGTTAAAAGTCACAGCGGCTATGAGAGTTGTACAAAATGTTGTATTCATGGAGATTACATTGAAAACACAATATGTTTTCCAGGATTTTGCGATGTACTTAGAACTGACGAAATGTTTAAAAACTTTAATTATAATTTAGATTATCAAAATAAAGAAACCAAGCTCATAAACATACCGTACTTTGAATTGGTATCTAACGTTCCGTTAGATTATATGCATCTGGTGTGTCTAGGAGTGATGCGTAAGTTAATTCAGCTTTGGTTAAACGGACCAATCAATAAAAATGTACGATTTCAGTCCAACATTGTGCATGAAATTTCTAATGCGTTAACAGATTTTGTACAATTTATACCATCGGATTTTAACAGAAAACCAAGAGCTCTGAAATACTTAAAATATTGGAAAGCCACGGAATTTCGTTTATTTTTATTATACTTGGGACCAGTAGTTTTACGTAAACATTTAAGAAAAGATTTATACAATCATTTCCTAGAATTATATGTCGCTATTACTATCTTAGCTTCACCAGTTCTTTCTCTTCATGATGTAAATGTATCTTATGCGGGACAATTATTAAATCATTTTGTTTCGAGTTTTGAAACATTGTATGGTAAAAGATATATCAGTTATAATGTGCATAATTTGCAACATATTGCAGCAGATGTTAAGAAATATGGAGCCTTAGACAATTTCAGCGCATTTCGATTCGAAAATTTTATAGGAACATTGATAAAACTTGTGAAAAAGGGTGAAAAACCACTCCAACAAATTTCCAGAAGATTGAAAGAGTATGAATTAACGTCGCAAAAGAAAATAAAAATTTCTGGAAATTTAATCAGATTGGAACAACGCCATTATAACGGTATTATGCGTCAAAATACGTTCTTTTTAAAACAATATAAAGAAATGTACAAAGATCATTTTTACGTTTGTATTACAGATAATAAGAATAATTGCTGTTTATTAGATGATGGCTCTATTGTTGAAGCGCTAAATTTTGTTCTTCATGATAATATACCATATGTTATTGGTAGAGAATTTGTGAAATTAAAAAGTTTATATGAATATCCTATGAGTTCATCTGATTTTTCAATCCACGTGTGTAAAGTAAATGATGTTCTTTTATCATGGCTATGTTCATTTATAAGGGCCAAATTACTAAAATTACCTAAAAATAATAAAAAAGCACATTCCGTTATCATTTTTCCTATTCTGCATACTAAAATTAATTATATGTAAGATTTATCTTTTGTAAATAAAACTTTTGTAATTTTAACTTTTTAATAAAATATATGTACATTAAAATCTGTATTTTTAATTTTATTGCTTATTTCATCTACACTTTTATTTTATTATTATTTACTAAATATAGAAAACTATGTTTTTATATCAAATTTGCATGGTTTTTCATGATAAATAATCCTATATTACTGAAGATTATACACACACATATACACCCACACACAATTTATACTACAATCAATTTTAAATAAAATTTTGAAAATTGTTTATTAACGCGGCATTTTAATTGTTCCAAAAATTTCAAATACAAAGTTTATATTATATTTCATTATTATAATTATTATAATTAATTATAAATATATATATTTAATTTTTTGTAAGTTCTAGTCTATCAACAAATTTTCATAAATAGTACAAATGCAATGTTGCATCTGAAATGTTTAGAAATATAATAAATATAATAATAAAAATATAATACGTGTAATGTAAATGTAATATTACTTTTATCGTGTATTAGAAATATTTCTAAATCATTGCATCTGCAATATTTCTTCTGAAATATTATAGATATTAACTTTGCAATTAAATTTGCAATTCAATTTTTCATTATCTACACAACCTTTCAGAAAATTTTCAGAAATATTTTAATTGCAATGTTGCGTTTGACATGTTACAGAAATATTATTTGCACAAAGTAAGTGTAATATTACTTTTATAATGCTTCAGAAATATATATGAAATATTACGCCTGCGACATTTCTTTTGCAATACTATAGAAACATGTTAATATGAACGCTAACTTTTTATTTTTCTTCAAAATTTCAGAAATATTGCGATTGCAATGTTACAAAACACATGATGCAGGCACTTCGTTGAAATACTTCAGATACAAAGTTACAGTTGAAATATTTATGAAATATTTCTGTATCATTACAGTTTTTCAACAATATTACATGCCGAGTGGGCAACTTAAATATACACGCAAGTGAATCCCAAATATCAGCAGAATATCAGTTGAATATATCAACACATGATTTGGTAAACAATAATAATGCGTGCAATGAGTCTTACTTTAATAAAATTCCTCATTCATCTACTCCAGATAATTGTAGTATGTATCTTTTTGGAAAGTTCCAATTTATTTTAGTTAGTAGATTACATAAAATTTTTAGTTAGTTAGTAGACTATATAAAAACTTAATATTTTTGTCTTCAAATAATACTAAATACTTTAAAGAAATTATTCGCCAGCAAAGTTTTTTTAAAACTCAGTTATGGCAGATGGCAGACGATTTGAAAGAAATTAAAGATGCTGTAATAAGTAATATTCAGATGATACAAGATACGAATGGCAACCAGCAGCAAGGAGCAAGATCAATTTATTCTTCTTTTGATCTTCTATTAAAAACCATTCAAGATTTGGAAGAAGCTGTGGAACAATTTTTACACATTCAAAATAATTTTGATCGCTCGGTAATATTTATACTCTATGCAATCGTAAAATCTTTTCATCTTTTGTGATATACGAATTGAATATTGTAATGAAATATATATATGATTTGTTGCAGTGTACAGAAGCATGTGTAATAGGAGGTACATCTGCTTATAATTTTATAAAACGAAATATGGATAGATTGATTACCCATACGGCACAGCACCGTTGCAGCAACATTGCAGCAATGTTGTTTTGCAAGATTGCAACATTGCAGAAACGATGCGAAATGTTACTGCAATGTTGCTGCAGTCTTGCAGCAAAGGTAAAATGTCCGCTTGCAGCAATATTGCAATGAAATATTGTAGTAACATTGCAGTGTAACATTGCAGCAACATTTGTAATATAATTTGTATGCAATAATGCTTTATATATATATATATCTATATATATATATATATCTATATATATCTACACTTTTATTTTATTATTATTTACTAAATATAGAAAACTATGTTTTTATATCAAATTTGCATGGTTTTTCATGATAAATAATCCTATATTACTGAAGATTATACACACACATATACACCCACACACAATTTATACTACAATCAATTTTAAATAAAATTTTGAACCCAATCTATCTCCAACTTTCGTCTGCATGAAGCTTTCAAACATCCTGTATATATATATATATATATATATATATATATATATATATATATATATACAGGATGTTTGAAAGCTTCATGCAGACGAAAGTTGGAGATAGATTGGGTGTAGCCGAGAAGAAAAGTCATGTACCATAATGTCAAATTGGCAATAGTTACCGAGTTAATAATTAAAACATGTGAGCCAACGAGCGCGCAGAGAGCGGAGGGCGGCCGCAGTAAGCACGTAGACATTTGATACAGGCGGAGTCAGCGAGTAATGGTAGGCGAGCGCGCGCGGCGAGGGACGACGTAAGCGACAAGAGGCGAGCACGCGCGACGAGGAGCGAGCGAGCGCAAGCGACAAGAGGCGAGCACGAACGACGAGGAGCGAGCGAACTTTTTTTTTTATAGCTTTTGCTTTATAGCTCGCTCGCTCTTCATCGCGCTCGTTCGCCTCTTGTCGCTTGCGCTCGCTCGCTCCTCGTCGTTCGTGCTCGCTCGCTCCTCGTCGCGCACGCTCGCCTCTCGTCGTTTACGTTGTCCCTCGCCGCGCGCGCTCGCCTACCGTTACTCGCTGACTCCGCCTGTATCAAATGTCTACGTGCTTACTGCGGCCGCCTTCCGCTCTCTACGCGCTCGTTGGCTCACATATTTTAATTAATAATTCGGTAACTATTGCCAATTTGACATTATGGTACATGACTTTTCTTCTCGGCTACACCCGATCTATCTCCAACTTTCGTCTGCATGATAAGCTTTCAAACACCCTGTATATATGTAAGACAAATAATTTTTGCATAAGACGAATATAATTTTTTTTGCTTATCCTTTGCGATTTCGTTCTTTTTTTTCCTCCTCTTTCTCCCCCTCCCCTGTCAAATAAGCGCCATCGGCCTATTATTGTGAATACTTACTCTAAAATACATAAGTGTAATATAGATACTGAACCAATTATCGTTTCCAATACCTAATAATTTCTATCGTGTGAGGTGTGGATATTTCATATAAAAATTCGCGATGAGCGTTCGGAGCGTTAGAAAACAATAGCGATCTCGGTGAGGCTAATGGTGGGGGAAAACAGAGTTTACGTTTGGAAAACAGAGACGCGGATGACAAGAACAATGTCACTGACGAGTGAGTCAGTCACTGCTGGACGTCCAAGGTGAGCGTGCCGTCGTCGCTCGTGTGGAAAATTGGTGAGTGTTAGCCAAATTGCTGTTTCCTGGTGGTCGGCGGCTGACCGGGGGCGCGAGCGTTGTTCTCTTGCACGGTCGATTGATGTCTCTCGAATCCGAGTGTCGGTGTCGTTGTGCGTTTTCCCTTCGACACCGATCCAATTCGGGTGTCTCCTGGGTCGCCGGACTGGGCCCGCCGTGCGTTTTCCCGGAGCGCCCGGTGTGATCCGGATGATCTAAAGCCA